AGTTTAGCAGTTATCAAGAAATTCACGTAGTTATTTTGAAGAATCACCTTATTAGTAAACGAAGCGGCTAAAAAGATCTAAGATGTATTTAGTAGGAGAGAACTCGATTAAATCACAGATTTCATCACAAATGTCCCCATTTGTTATCAATATGGAGATCGCTGCACCGACATGACAATTGCCTCCCGTGGTCTTAACGCATTATGCGATGTTTAATTGCAGTGTGCAATAAGCTAGATGTTCGTCCTGCATCTGGTTCACACAGTTTAAGGAGTTCAATATTTCTATCTGAAAAAGCATATTTGAATACATTGATGGACCTAATTCAGGAATCGTACGGCTCAACACTCCTCCACTTGACAGGTATTTCATTTATTTGGTCATAATTTTTTCCCGGAAGTTCAAGTGTATCAGCTGCTTTAGGCCGTTCTATGGTCATCATCAGAAGGAAATTTTAACATTCGCCTGTCGCAAGGAGAATTTTGGTCTTGTAAGATTTCCTGCTGCAAGCACTATGTTAATTTGTGAAGGTAACGAACTATTGTTAGACCAGCTAATTCAACACAAATTCCACAGTTAGGAATATCAACTCATCACAGTGGGACGGTGAACCTTTGAGACGGCTCGATCACATTAGAAGATACCAAAAAATATATACGTTTTTGCTCTAATGCGCTGCATCAACACAATACGTGAAAGCTTAAACTTAATCGTTTCATAATAGAAAAAATTCTGACTAGATATGAATGCGGCGCTCTCTTGTTCAGCAATGCGAGGTTGTTATCCGAAGTTAATAGAAAGTCGATCCTGGCATTCGACCAGATAACTCACTACAAAAGATCTAGCTCGCTCCATAAACTAAAAACATAACATTGTCATTACATATAGAGTTATTGATTGGGATTATTATACCAATATGCCGACGAGCAGCTAAGTACGAATCACTAGCTTCACGTTAGAAGTACATGGAGTCTCAATTCATTTCAGTTAAACCACAGAAACATACTTACTCGATTACGTTGCTGTTGCTACCAGAAATCTAATTAAGGACGAAAAATGGAGACATGTTTCGCATTTTACTATGTTATGTCTGATATCCCTCACAGTGATGAGTCGCATTCAACTCACTCAGAACTACATGTATTTATTTAATTGCACGTAATATTAAAGGTGTGGTCGCTTTGAGCTGGCAACTAAAGGTGAGCTATCTGATTCCACCTGGATGAAGTTCTTATTTTCAGGAAGCTATGAAACGTATTTCGCCTGCGCTTCTTTTTTGTTGAGGTCCGTATTTTGGATGTCAAACCAATTCAACGAGCGTGTTCATCGACCGACAAGTCACGACGATGTCCTCCAGCCCAATATTTGACGTTTTAGATTCAGTCCTTCGATTTCGAACCATACAATACGAATTTTACAGCATGACCCCAGCTACAAATTTAGATAAGGGAAAATTACAAAAAACTACTAACTCACTGCGCTTAAAACAATCATACAGCAAATAAAACTGATTTAAAGGAAAAAGCGGTGAGTGTTTCGAGAAGCTGTTGAACATGATGTAATCGCCATAGAGTTTTTCGTCTTTTTGTAAGTGTTATTGAAGCGTTTGGCTCAGTAGATTGCATATGAGTATACGTTTCCAGGCTTTGAAGAAGGCGATACTGCCGAAACGTCAGTTACTGTTATATTGTATTGTGTATTTTTCTATGGAAGTAAATGTATGCTGTATAACAACCTCACGATTGCTGAACAAGAAGAGTTGATCATGCAAGCAAGAAGGATAAGGTACGACGTAATTGGCCTAGTCGAGACGAGACGAGGCCACCTATTCAACGCCATATATGACACCGGAGCAGAACTGACTGAGGAACAGAAGTGAACTGAAGATTCCATAGAGAATCAATGCGAGAAGACAATCAAGGTAGCGACCGAAATCTTCAAGCAGCACAGAATCAACACATGAATCCGAAGACCTTGCAGATGTGTGGTGCGGGACAGGAAACCAAACGAAGGAAGTGGTTGTATCCGCATGTGTATGTGCTACAGCTTACTTTTTCTTCCAGGCTCGGAAGAAGGCGATACTGCCGAACCGTCAGCTACCGTTGTGTTGCATGTGTTCTAAGTGTATGGAAGTAAACGTGAGCTGAATAACAACCTTGCGATTGCTGGAAAAGAAAACGACGCATTCACATTCCAGTGCCGAGGTTAATAGAAAGTCGATCCTGGAAAGTGACTTTAATTCAACACTGGATTACAACTAACACCCAGCAAATGAGTCGGAGACGACCTCAGATATATTCGACTTCGCTGGTCGAATATTCGATTTAGTCGAATAAGTTTAGAAATATGGCAAGTGTTAGGATATGTGAGCACTTATAAACATGCATAATATGATCTCCTAGAAATTTATTTCAATAATTAGACCATATGCGTATATAAAACACCACAATGGCCGCATCTAAGGATTTTCTACTAGTCAAAAACATTCAGAGAGAACTAGAAAAAATCCTACACGACGAAGATTTTACTTAAACTTACTGTATTACTGCCCCCGTAAACGTGTTTTACTGTTTATGGTAGTATTATTGATCACACGACTATATGTACTTATTTCTGTGCGAGAACTAAGTATGTACGGATGGCTATATGCAGACAGACAAACAGACGAACTGACTGGCAGGCAGACAGACACGAATGGCTGCTATACATGCATGTTTACGCGTGCAGTGTGAGCCCTAGGAAGGGCTGGATCAATAACAAAGCCGGACTACGGGATTGCATGAAGCAGACAGACATCATCAGCGTTGTTCCTCTTTTCTTTTATTTTCTTTTTTTTTGCTCTGGCTACTTTAAAGATTTCAACGCTGCAATAACAGCCAGGAATTTCGAGAACTACTTACGGACAAAATCCAGCGAAAGATTTAGAGTTGTTATGAAAATCTGTGTTCTACGGGTTATGGTTCGGCTAAAAAGAAGATAAAACGTAGAGCTATTTTTATCGAATATTAATGGAGGACAGGATTCAAATGGAGAGCAACTCCATGATTTTCAGATTGGTCAACAAATGCTCGAATATAGTGTGCACACTGAATCATGCTAGTAGCATGATTGTAAACAGTTATAAGCCCGTGGTCTGTTGCCAAGCCTAACGTGCTCGAGCGGAATGTAGGATGTCCTTGTTGCACTCACTCCTTTATCTAATGTTTCGGTGTTTTTTTTTCACTGGTCATGCCGTTCAAAGAATGGCTTATTGATCACACAAAGATTTCGCTTCGGAAGGCGATTAGATGTTGTACTATGAATAAGATTCAGGAAATTCATCACGTTATTAGCTAAAGTGGCATGAGCTATAGTGATGCACTCTTCCACTTTATACCCTTTTTTATGACATCGTAGAGTTTCACATAATGGGACCGAGGTAAAACTCTTTCCATTGTCTTAACGTTTATTTACTGTCTATTCTTTCTTCATAGCGGGATATTATGTTAAACACAACGACAAGAATGCTGGGAAATGAACAAAACTCGGAACCACAATTTTAACATTTTTATTTACTGCCTACTAAAATTTTTAGACAGACTGAGATACAGGCGAAACGAAGGACCCGCACCCGCAATACAAAGCCTTTCCTATTGAGATGATGGACGGCAAAGGAAGCCATCCTGAAGATGTTTTTTCTTAATGTGAACATCTAACCAACGTAATATAACAGACTCTGTACCTTTATCACAAACTGCTAGTCCAATTGTCTTCGATTTTATGCGCTTTCGAACCTACCACATATTTCATTTTTGTGTTGCTATGACGTTGGAGCCAAACATTTTTTCGTGATAATGATTAAGGATTTTGAGAATTTTGTGTGAAAATATACCTGAGGTTGTCAACTTCGTCGTTCGTCGATAAACTGTATGTATATAAACACACTGATGCTGAGATATGTGCAAAACTCCGGGTTGCAGGTGTCTACGGTAGAGATCGAACGCGATATTACCCTTTCCGGGAGCTAACATGCATTCGACTTCACTAAGTATCGTTAGAGGTGAATGAATGGATATCTGCTTTTTACAATGGCAAGCGGTGGCCTACTGATGTATCGAGTCAGTGCTGCTTTCCTCCCAGACAGGTCTGGTATCAATTTGCCGACAACGGAGGGATGAAAGGCTTGGTGGGCCTGGAGCGCGGGAATCTGTCTCATGCGTATTGCAGGGTGCTTCTAACCACTGCGCTACACGCGCTCCGCAGGACGCGTTACTCTTATAACAACAAGAAATTTTATATGAATAATCGTTCAGAAACCGTATTGTCTAGAACAGCACTCCTGAGTTAGACCAATTAATTCGTGCGTTGTTCCTCTTCACCGGGTTCTATTCGATGAAACTATGATAACCCAAATCTCAAGAAAGACTCGAGTCGCCGATCTACTGATGAAGTTGAATGGGCCGATGTGTAGACACAACAAGCAGTTTTTTGTAATAACCCTGTGAAAACTCATTAATGTAACGACGTATCTACTTAAACAAGGGTTTTTTGCTTATTTCATCTTATTCTACACGACTCGACGTTACCTATATTGCACGGTTCTCGGCAGGCTTTTCATTGAATTTGCGTTTTCGCATCCATTTTCAATAAATATCGTTAGACTTGTTAGCTAAAGATTTTTACACCTCTGAATGTCCATAGGTGCTCCTCGTGTCGACTTTGTCTCAAATCCAAGGACAGCCGTGCTAGAGCATTTCCAGATTTTGGTTGTTTGCTGAATCATGGCTGTGCAAGTATGGGACAGCAACACTACCACTGGATTATCTCTGTCCTACTGTTCGTTTATCGTCAACTGTATCATATTTTTGTGATTGTCAACGTCTTCTCTTGCAAAAACTTGTCGTAAACCTTTCCATCCTGCTAATATTATTAAAATAACAATGTTTATAAATATCACAATACAGTAATTATAGAAGAATAGTAGTGCATATAAACACTGAGCTGTATATTACAATACCGATCTAAACAATTTTCTTGATTGTTTGAATGATATACCGCACCGGTAATGTGTTGCGGGACCACATTGTCCAGAACGGCGACTCCTGAGTCGAGAAAAGAATTGAAGTCATGTACGATGGTACCAGCTTGAATGGTATCTCATGCAGACTGTAATGGATACGAAACAGTTTACCGTTTTCAACTCTTCAGTTATCGACAACAGCAAGAAAAAAAGCACATTTCGTATTTTTAATGTTTCTATAAGTCTTCTATTATGATGACAGTATTTCACGATCTCTGTAGTATTTTTGTTTGAATATCACTGGCCTTTTTCTTTACTACTTCGATAAAGCGGCAATGAAAAAAACCGATTAAAAACTATATCGATACCTTATAATTTTCTGGGCGAGCGTCATTTCAACAGCAAGTCCAAGCCCTTTTCGACGATATTCTGGCACGGTGTACTGATCCGCCATCGTTCCAACGAACGAGCGTAACTCATAGGACACCACCTTTCCAGTCGACGTTTCACGCACACATGATGATGGAAGATGCTGTATTCGTTTCCTAAAAGAGTAATAAACTCGTTGGCATATCCGAAACCATCAACGTAGGTGATGATATCATGCTGACTTGAATGCTTCAGAAAGAGCAGTTGATTTTTGTTCATCAGGGATAATATAATCAGCATCCTTGATTACCAGATTTGAAATATGAAATCCATATGGTAGCTTATATTCCACCTACAAAACTGAAATTCAACCACATTGTCTTTTAAAATCCAACTTTCATTTAATCTTGGCATCAAAGACCAATGGCTTGTCATATTGTTAAGCCTGCACGAAATTGCTACAAATCTTTAGTATGGCCAACATTTCAACAGTACCGCATATTTCAGAGCACAGTGATTCGAGTCGCCTGCCAACAACAGTTATTCTTTTCAATCCCGGCAACAAAAGATGTATTTAGCATATTCAGGACACCATCGAACCCGACAAAATTGGTATTATCAACAAAAAACTTGCTTTCTTAACCTAAGTTCTGCTCATATTTCTGCGAATTAAGGTACAATATGCAAATTTCCACACCTGGAAGACATTCGTCTCGAATAACTGCGGTTCTCAAGAAGGCGCTGATGCCGAAACGTCAACCATGATAAAAAATTATACATCAACCTCGTATGAGGTTCTCAATATGACGACACATCAATTACATTACTACAGATCAAGTGCAGCTACAACTATTATGCTATCAGAAAGCACTTAGCATTAAATCTGCTTAAATAACGCAGCCGTTCTTTCAGAATGGTTATAAATATTCATTATTAACAGAATAAAGGTTATGTGTGTAAAACCAGCAATAATCTACCTTTAAAGCGTTCGACATCTGTTCAGAAGTCATATAAAACATATAGTATTCCTCAGCATCGGCCACTTGGTAATTTTTCAGCTCTTTCGCGTAAGTGGCAATCTAAAAATAAAACAAAGAATTCATTTCTTGCATGTCAAAGAGTGCTGTTGCTACGTTTCTTGATGAATTAATACATTCGTGACGCTATGGGCACTAGTGTGTCAACGGTGTATGTGGACAGTGTGAACACAGTGCTATCCATATTTAACTCGTTGCTGTAAAAATTTCTTATTGCACTATGTATAACCGTTCTATATTTAACACTTGAACGGCCCGTCCTCAGTGGTTGTGCGGGCCCCAGCACAATCTCCATTTTTCAGGGATTTGCTGGTTAAGCCATTGTGGTTCCCTGGAATCCCGAGGTCAGCCTGGCCAAAGTCTGCCCCAGGTCTTCACCACCACAGGCCGTCGCAGCCTTTGTGGAACAGAGGGAGATTTGCCACCATGCAACTTTGATACCAGGACGGTGGTGGAACCTGGTATTGGTTTAGTCTTAGCCAGGCTTCCTGATAGAAACGCCGGACTGCTTCTTAGCTTGGGAGACCCTGCCAGGGAATGAATCCCCCGTTGTACATCGCAGTTCGACACCCAGGAACACTTTCCAGCCATGATGAGATGGTAAACCGTTGGGAGGATCCGTTCTACAACCAATTGATAATTATAAATATTTCAATAGTTCTCGTTCTCTTTAAAATGATTGTATTCAAATATAGGTATAACGGAAAGATTCTAAATTCCACTTCCACACTGGGCTGTTAGAAGGCTGAAGATTACTTCTTTCACCTAATAATACAACGCTTCTAATTCGCTATCAACGAATGTAGTGAATGAAGCGTAGCAACTATTGATACAAATCTTCTTTAAACACAAAGGCTGAAGAAGGAAAATGGCTAGGCAAGGCAGTGGGATTTCGTTTCACTCTAGGATGTAGATAATTCAGCGATCAACTCCTAAAAAAGTGGCAAGGGCTTCATCATCTCATTGGTGTGTGTCGATCTTCCGCTTTTCTATCTCATGGGACGATTACATGAACTTTATCCGGTTTGTGGACTCAAAAAGAGTGCTAAGGTTAACATTTGGTGACGCAGTTCTCATGGTTTGTAGTGAACGTGTTTTTTCTTTCCATGCGGTTGCACTGATATATTTTGTGGTACTCTATTGCTGCTTCAGCACAAGAGTTCCAAAGCGAACAAGCAAGAGCTTTCTCAGGTCTTTCCCACCAGCACTTTTGCAGCTTTTGCAGACCAGAGGGCGTTTTCCCATCGTCTTACTAGTTTGGTATTACGACAACAGTGATTTCTGGTAATAAACTTAAATGTAGAAGGAAGTAAAAATCAGTACGGCTACCAGGCACCGAAGCACCAAGAGCGGAATTATGAAGGAATAACACATCTTAAAGTGTAACCGCAAAAAATATTTCCAGAGTTAACGCTTACTTCATCCATAAAATGAGCTTCAGCTCGAAATTCGATCTCAGTGGTGTCTTGAAAAATTTTACTCTTCTCGACGAAAAGCCTAAACGCCAAAGCGAATTTAACTTTGTCGTATGAATTACCACATTGTCCTACCAGAACCATTGCTCTGAAATGAAGAAGTACTAATAAAATTTCTTCATCGGCCTGTAAGGTATAAAAAAGTTACTTGTAATCGTAATGTTTTACTTTTTATTTCCTGCCTGCCACAATTTTTACGGTAGGGTATTAATCGAGATACAACCACAACGTTGCTGAGATATTTGCAAAACTCCAGACAGCAGGTGTCAGCGGTGGGGAACGAACGAGCTATTGTCCTTTCCGGGGAGTAAAGCGTTCACCACCACACCATGTGAGTCCTTCGTTTCGTCTGCCTCTCAGCTAGTTCTAACGATCAGTGCCACCAGTAATATCCGTCAAAAGGATTGATCTGGGAAGCCCACATCGACATTGAACCCAGTTAAGCTGACGCTGTAGTTAAAATCACAATGTTTTACTTTTTATTTCACGCTCGCTACAATTTTTACGGCAGGCTCCGGAAAGAGTAACGGCGCTTTCGTTCCCCACTGGAGACACCTGTGGCCCGGAGTTTTGCATATACCTCAGCAACTAAAGTTTGTTTTGAGTGTTCTAGAGCCCTTTTTAACAAAAAACTCTAAACCTTTCGGTGTTGATCAATCTCTATGGCATGCGCTATGCATTCAACTTTATTAAGCATCGTTGGAGGTGAGTGAAAGAATATCTGGCTTATGCAATGATTCACGATGGTCTTTCGATGTACAGACGCTGTGCTGCCATCCTCCCAGACTGATCTCTCACCAATTTGTCGACACCGGAGTGATGGAAGGGTTTGTGAGCCTGGGGCGTGGGTTCGAACCCACGCCTATTGTAGGGCGCCTCTAATTAAAGCGCTACAAGCTCCGAAGTGTATGGACAAAAAATGTCAGTATTGTATATATAGATCGTGTTATTAAAATGTAATTTATATTATATCCTTTCAGACACATGCCGTCCGGAGCTTTGCAAATATCTCAGCAGCATTATATCATTTCAATTCTTTATTTTAGAGGCATGGAGGCTTTTTGAATTCTTTGTGGATATTGCTAAGTGAAATGTATTGAATTTCATTTCCATGCTTTTTTTTGTTTCTGTTTTGCAAGTACTATAGATTATAGATAGAACTAACGGCATATCTTGCTGGATGTTTAGAAGGAACCAGTATTGAAATGTAGTGGATGGATAGATGTAGAGTTGTAAGTCACGTGCACATGCACAAGGCCAAGTAGCTGCATGAATAGGTAGAAGATTTGGATTCGATTTATTTCTAGCCATATTCGCTTCACAAATCTGAAGTGTACGACTCGATTTTATAGTTAACATGTCTGAAACGAAAACATTATCAACCAAATGTTCCTGAAAGAACATAACGAATAAACATATTAAATTTGAAGCATGTGAGCGGCTTTTGGAACCACGGAAAAGAACATTCCAGAATCATGTAGAGAATTACCAATTAACTGTGACAAAAGAATGAAACGACAAAGCATTTGGCATTGATCAGTCTCTTAAATATGTGACATGCATTCGATTTGATTAAGCACCGTTTGAGGTGAACGAAAGCATTTCTAGTCTATATAGTGACTTGATTTAAACTCCCAAAGAAGCCTGGTATAAATTCACGGTTATCCCAGATGGATAGATTTGGTCATCTGGTGCGTGGTTTGGAGTCAATGATCGCATATGTGTTGCAGGCCGCCATCCCCAATGCTGCTCGCACCACCTTGATGTTGAATAAGAAATAATATCTGACTTAAAAAATTGATCGTAAAAGATGGCAATTAATCTGCAGAATGGAAATAACATCGATGCGAGAATTTCACTAGAAGCTGCGAAACGTGGCTGAGAATTTGGTGTTCATCGAATGTATAGGGTTTCACTTCCAAAACATGGATTATATTGTGGGAATCTTCGAAGATCTAACACAGTGTAAAAGTAACGAAGATGGCGACATAAGACGAGAGACTGCATAAAATTGTGTACATCTCAAAAAATATAATAATAAAAGTAGGAGACAATCATTATAGTTAGTAGCAGAAATAGTAGAAGTGAAAAATAATGATGATGTCATTACAATAAGTAGCAACAGTAATTAGCCTCAAGGGCAAAGAAGGGAAAGAGAGAATTTAATTACAGCTTAGAATTTTTTGGGGCATTCGCATGCCCTCATTCTTTGTCTACCCAAAAAAAAGAAAATCAATAATGTTATAGTTCGTAATTGTATTAATTGTAGTCATTTGCCATAGGAAAATCCGTAGTTAATATATTGGATGCCGAGGTTCGACGTTTGAGAAAAAACGGTGAAGAAAAAACCGCAATAGACACATGGTGGATTTGCATAACATTCCGCGTAGATCCAACACTTCTCACATTTCCTTTCTTTCACGCAACTGTCATTCATAGAGATGGTCACTTTGGCGCGCGGGTTGAACTGCAGACTGACGAACCACCATCCTATCCTCACTTATATGTTTTACGCTCCTTGAGGAGAGTTTCCTCTGCATTCCTGGATTAGCCTGTACTATAGCGCTTCGTGGTATTTATAAAAGACGAACGGCTCCCGTTACAAATCAGCGAGAACATCGCCGCCTTGCGACTATGATTCTTTTAATACGGTAGCGATTACTGTGACGACAGCGTTTACTGTCATTTGATGGCCAGTCGATAGAAAACAATGTAATGAGTAAGCTTAATCCAGATGTACCACGAAAACAAATATATTTCTTTATCTAGAAAAACAGGCAACAGCATTTGTCACTTAAGCAATGACTAATATTAGCGAACATTTGTTCATTGACCAACATTCCACCCAACGGTTTACCGCCTCATCGTGGCTGGAAGGTGCTCTTGCGCTGTTAAGTTGGAAAGGAACCCGGCGTTTCCATCAGGAAGCCTAGCTACTAAGAGTAAACCAATACCAGGATTCACCACCGTCCTGGTATCAAAGTCGCATGGTGGCAAATCTCCCTCTGATCCACAAGATCTGCGACCGCCCGTGGTGTGAAGACCTGGAGCAGGCTTTGGCCAGGCTGGCCTCAGAATTCCAGAGAACTACAATAGCTTAGCCAGCAAATCCTTGAAAAATGGAGATTGTGCTGGCGCCCGCACAACCGATGAGGACGGGCCATTCAAGTATCAAGAGCAACGCTGGAGTGCATTTACACGTCTCTTACCGGACAGTTCGCCACATTGGAAACACTCCAAAGGTTGACACCAAAAAATGCTAATTATAGTAACTTTCGCGCTCACACAATCGTTCTTTGCCTATTGAAGAATAGTAGTTCTGTGTCGTCATCCCGTTCCATAAATTACAAGTTGAAGAGAAGTGACGTTTGTTACGTGTTATAGGCCAACGTCGGCATGTGATCGCTCTTACATCAGCAGGAGATGTAAGGAAGTCACTGCAACAGAAAACTTCGATGATGCCATTTAGCCAAGTGGTAACTGTTGGTGAATATGTAGTCCTTTCCTTGCAATTATTTGGTTACCACAAATTTTCACGAAATCTTGAAGATCTCCTTTGTTATTGTTAGTAGATTGTAAAATGATGACATGTGTGGGTAAAGAGTTGAGTTTCAACAGCTCTCTAAAAGCCTCTCAACTGTTTACCGCCTCACCGCGGCTGGAAGGTGTTCATTCGTGTCCGGCTGCGATGTACAGTGGACATTCCATTCTCCAACAGGGCTTTTCAAGCTGAGGTGTTCAACGTTTCTATCTGAAAACCCAGCTAAGAGTAAGCCAATACCAGAGGTCGCACCAGCCTGGCATCAAACTACTTGCATGGTGGAAAACTTCTCTCTGATTAACAAGGTCAGGGAGAGCCAGGGATTGTGACAACCTAAGAAACGCTTCGGCTTGGTTGATCTCGTAACTTCAGTGAACTACAATGGCTAGACCAGCAAATCTCCGGCGGAAAATAATGCTGGGGTCCACACAAGCAGTGAAGATGGGCCATCCAAGCATCCAAATAAGTATGTAAGTAGCCAAAGAAAGAAATTTTTTACTGTGTAATAGGAACTTTTTACCCGACCTTTCACCATAAATTTTGTCTGTCAGGTCACCCTCGATAGCTTGTTTGCGCTGTTGCAGTTGTTGTCCCGGACGAATCTTAGTGCTAACGCTGCCACTGCAATAGTACCAAAATTCTTAAGAATATCTTAACTTAGCTACACTAATATTCCAAATAAACCGTGTTCAACTAGTATTCCGACGAGAGGAGATACCAGGTCATCAAGCTGAAGCCAAAAACACATATGAACCCAATCCCTTTCCTGACTAGCGGTTGTGGTGTGTCCAAAAAAACGAAGAAGTGTGTCATCCACAAAATATGTGAAGACGAGCCGCCCAATCGCTTAAGCAAGTGGTTGAGGAACGGCTAAAGAGTAACTCAAAAGGCCGACTTTCTACGAACCTCGACACTCGACATAACCTAAACCATCACGCACCTATCAACCCATAACTTAAATCATCGATATATTTAATTGCCCTCGTTGAGCTGACGCGAGGTTGGTCTAAGCCGTCGTCGTCGTTGTTGTTGTTGTTGCCAGGGGGAGTCCCACAACAGCAGAACCACGACGACAAGTTTCACCAACCTCGCATCAGCTCAGCAAGGGTAGTTCTTAAGACCATGTAAACGGCTAAAGAATATTTGAAGAGTAAGATAAAATAGATGCTAAGTAAACGGCGAAATTCAGCATAGAAATAGAAGATTCTTGTCACTTGAATCGACGGTAGCTCGATAAGCACAAGACACTTGAATTTCTGTTATAAAATTGACGATGCTGTGCTCACATGGTATGTCGTAAGGAAAGAATAATCGGCATCAATTCGTCTTCATGCATCTAACGCTTTCCATTTAATACAGGGCAGCGGGACTTTGAAATTTTCTTGAAAAATATCGTCGTAGAGAGTATCAGCCAGTAAATGCTCAAGAAAACAATTTTGGCTTTGTTTTCAAAACCCCATGGAGTGGATAACTTATGCCTCACTGCCACATCAGGAATTACCATTTGAAGAATTTAGACATATCAACTCACAACGGATAAGAGCTCATCGAAGAGCTACACAGTAAAAAAATGGCAGTTTCGTACTATCTCAATCGAAAAGTGGAGTCTATTACCCTCAATAAATGAATGCTAGATAACGTGAATGGGCAGTTACGAAGTGTTCGATGCAACAAAAATGGTTCGCTTTTTCTGATCGCAGTAGATCGAGGGCAAAGTGTGGATAAATATGGATCATCGAAAGGTTCTTCGAAACGAATTTTGTATCAATCGTAAGTTTCGGTGATTCATTGACCGTAAGTAGTTGCCTACTAGAGCCCTCCAACCATAGCGCAATTATATCCACAGAGACGTATTGCTAAAAAGATAACAGATTGCACACTGGAAAAGTTAGGAATGGCAGTGATGAATCGAAAAGGGTCAATTCTGTTGGTCCCACCACCTCCACTACGAAGGATAGAAGCATTTAAACATCTGCCTCTTTGAAATCTATCGTCATCATCAAAACTTCCCTCAACCAAGGCAACAACTTCTCAATCACTTTGAAAGATACTTTCTAGCGAATTTTACAACAAAAAATCTGCTGCGGAAGGGCATCCATGGAGGGTCTGTGGGATCCCGAAGCTTAGAATATCACTCTGACGGAATAGGCAAATTTTCCATGTATTTTGTTCGAAAAAAACTACGTAATAGTATGGTAAAGGTAGCATGAAAATATACTAAGAAAATGCAAATTTTTGAAGTAAAACTGAATGAACGAATTGTGAAGGCTGCAGCGCATTTCTTTATATTGCGTGACATTGCATCATGCAGAATGATGATGAAATCGTGATGTAATACGGTTAGCGATGCCCGGAGACTGTACTCGAACAAGTTTTATCCCGGACTATTCAGAAATAGTCTATGAAATTGTCCACGTCTTAAGTAAATCAGCTATGACCAATGTTACGCTTCATAGAGGGCATAGAGGAGAACTTAATACCGAGATCTTACTGCCTACCTTTAACACAGAGACCCCTTCTATTCAAGAATAGATTACCATACAGCATTTTCGAATTAAAAGGGTAGAGTTAGAAGAATGAAGAATAGCCAGTAGAACTCAAGATTATATTTTAAATAGGAAGAATATATCTGCATGTATAAAAGTTTTAAAAGTTTTTATGAATGTCTCTATGGTGTGAAACGTAGATTTAAGGAAATATTCCAGTGAACTCGTGAAGAAAATGACCATTAAGCTGGCATGCAATGAAACGTAGAAGAAAACTAGCTGATAGTGTACGACTTTTAGACTTTCTATTGAACTGTTGATGCTGACAAAGTCACATTGTCAAAACAGGTTAGTGGAATGATCACGTGGTGTTGACCGTAGTCTGAAGATGCGACGCCGAAATTGATATGTATTGAACAATATAGTGACGCAATGAGGGCTTCATAGAATTTCGTTTAGTACCAAAACATATAAGATGTACTAATACATGACATGGGTGCCCAATAGCCCAGTGCTGTTGATGCTGTTCAATATGAGCAAAGGCCATGACTAATGACCATTTGAAACAAACAAGTTCTTCATTCATCCTGGCTCCCGATGTTAGTAGCAAACATGTCTTGAGTCGGCCTGATCTCTTCGATCCACAAAAACTGGACAATGCCTGCAGCAAAAATCTAGGGAACCGCTTAACGAGGAAAGGTTGTTGATAAGTTTGCATAGGATTGTTACAGAAACTTCGTTATGTTTCACATTATAGCGCTAACGTTTATCAAGAGCGGTAATGATTTAAGTTTTGAGTCCAAAGCAGCTGCTATTTCTTATAATTTGGGTCTTCATATTGGTTGAATCGAGTCGACTTAAACACCGAGCAATCGGCATACCTCATCGAAGAGCTCTCCTTGTCAATGGAATGAAGCCACGGCATCTCCTTTGGTTGACTTTAGTCAAAGATTATCTGTTTGCACGCTAACAATTTGCCCTATAAAGGAGCTAAACAACTCGGCACATGGCGGTAAATTATTTAAAAGCCATATAAATCAACAATTAAAAACATGCTGCTGAGTGAGGAGAATCCGTTCTTGCTGTCTTTAGCCAAATCGTCTCCATTTGATGAGACTACAAAGACCCATGTTTGGTTTGGTATGCCTCTGAGACGAGGTTAACATAGTCTGAACTGCTTTTGAGGCAAGATGGACATGGCTCACCTGCATCTGAGGAGAGATGAAAATGGTCTAGTCGGCCTCTGAAACAAGTTCAATGTTTTCTGATTGGAGTTGCTAGTGGCTATTTAACCTTGGCGGTATTTCCTAGTGCATCTCGAAACAGAAATAAGAACAAAAAAAGAAAACCTTATCGGAAAGAGAACCTAATATTGCTCTCAATAAAACACTACATTCGAGCTACTGTAGTGGAAATTTCGCAACAATCAAGCACTTTATTCTAGTACGTCATACGTAACCAAAAAATGAGATGATTTTACGGATTGATCACGGTAAATGTGAATTTTGTATTCAGTTGGAGCAAAACATCGACACCTACACAGCTACTGGTGCTGATAAATCTCATGATTTCTAATTTATTGAAGTGTGTGAAGTATCAGCACCTTCTCTGCATATCAGAGCGCTGGGAGTGCTGCTGAATCGGAAAGGTGAGCGCGGAATTACGGGTCCGTTAGTCGGTCGGATGCATCTTTAGGAGGCCCGAACGCTGCTGTCCTTCCTCTGCCTAACTCCTTCTTCGTATTGTTTGCAGTGTTTGGACGTGGAACGAACAAGTTCGAGGTGTTCTCTGCATTCAGAGAACCACCCATTTTGATTAGTTCGCCTTCGCACCGTGGTTTCTTCAAGAACTGGGTCTTCGTCCGTTTTAAAGCAATAATAACAAAAATACCGAAAATTTCAGCATAAAGTTAAATAAGGACATAAGGAAAACGGTCTGAAATAAAAGTGCAAAGTTAAATTTTCTTACTTTAATTGCCTTGTTCGTTGATCCGTTTACAATGACGTGTTCCGGATCTGCACCAAAGCCGCCATTTGATTTAAGGACCGCTTTAAAACTCGGCATAAATCAAGTCTTCGAATTAAAAGCTAAGGCTAATATAGCATACAAAACACACTTGCTACTACGGCTAATTTTGGTTTTGATGCAGGCTGGAAGACTCCTAATTTTGGCTGTGATACATATGAATATAGCATCGAGCAATCTGGTTGTTTCTAAGTGGTCCAAGCTTCTTATCGCGATTTCCATTTATAAATCGATTTTATCCCGTTTCTCCGCATCTCTTATCTTGCTTATGCGCCATGCTCTCCTATACAACCACCCATATTCTATGTCCATATGCTACTTTTGCGTGGAGAAAAAACACATCTGCCAGACAAGTCATAATATTGGGACCAAGGGAATAGAATGGAACGAGCAGAGATGAGAGGCTGCCTGAGTTTATAATGACGACCAAGACTATTGATGGTAACTCGCAATTCCAAAAGCCCTACTCTCGGCGCTGGATGTATTAACCTCAAAATGGAGAGTACCACTTCGAAATGGACCACATCATAGTAAATCAACATTTTGCCCAAACGATTTCACTGTCGTCTTAAAATTCAACACGGAATCAGACCGTCACATTCTTCAATCAGATGTCGCTCCTCCCAGGAAGGAAAAAAAGCAGCTAAATTCAAAAAACGAAACCCCAAAACCACCATAAACTGAGATTTTTTTAGTTCATAATTTGGCTGCTAGAAAGATGTTGTGCTTTAGAAGATTAAAGACGAACACGATCGGTTCATTCAGTATCTTCACATTAGTGCTAGATAGCGAAGGATGAGAATTCGAAAGCCACCAACAGGCGTCTCGCTCTCGAGCAGATACGTCAGCTTGAAAACGGGCGAGCTGTATGGAACCTCCAAATCTCGTCTAAACTTGAAAAATTGGAAAGACAGGCGATGAAAGAGGACTATAAAGAGAGTAGAGCAGTAGCTATGGTTAAAGCTGTAGAGGTTGGAAAAAGCATTCGCAAATCCCATCGAAGCTTCGCCGATTATAAAACCAAGATTATCGCACAAACATCATTCACGTACGCCCCATTCACGCTCAGTGGGACGAAAATCTCCAAATGCTTCATTCACGTCTATCTAGGTGGGAAAATTAACATTTTGAACGACTTAGCTCCAGAGTTGAGCAGAAGGAAACGAGCGGCTTGGGGAGCTTTCAAGAGGATCAAGGATATAGTGAACAGGGCAAAAAACACCCGACTCCGTGGCCACCTTTTCGACTCAGCGGTACTTCCTGCTCTAACGTGTGCATCAGAAACCTGGTCGATGGGTAAGCAGGATGAAAGATCACTCAGCATTACCGAACGCGCAGTCGAAAGGACGATGCTGGAAGCATTCCGTTTCACACAAGTAAGGGAAGGGGTTCGAAGCAACGACCTACGCC